AAAAAAAAAAAAAAAAAGAATAATGGGCACTCAAAAAATATCTGTTGAGGTGTTGACTAGAAGGCAGCATACACATCAGTGAAAATTATTCATAGATTTATCTGTAGCTTATGGAGACCGGGCTATATAACCTATACGGACTGTTCCATTAAGACCGGGAGTTCAACAATGCAATGCAAACTGATCAGAATACAAAAGGGAGATGAAAGAAAGATGAGAGGAGAAGGGCAGGAGTAATCTGTCAGGCTTCTTGGGGGTAAATATTTGAAGGTGAGTGCTTGACGTCCTTGGGAGCAGTGTTATGATAAACATGATAACCATGGAAATGCATTTATGAACTCTCCATCTTCACGTGTTCTCCTGCACTTGGTGTTATGCACATCAAGTTTAAGTGCTTGCATTTTGTGGTGGGTTTTTTTTTTTGGGGGGGGGGGTGTTGCTCCAAGGCTCTATATAATCTTGGCAGAAAGATACCTAAACAGGTTTTTGGTCCATCGTTCTAACAGTGAGCCATGGGGTCAGTCCTACTGCTAAATTCCCTCCCCTTCCCCTTCCCCAAGGAGATTTATCAGCTTCCCTGAGTCGCACCTCCATTTAACAGTCAATAGCTAGCAGGCAGCACATTCACTTTTATTTCAACCCAAATCCTACAAACTATGCCTTCGATCACTTTTTATTCTAATCTTAGGAAAAAGTTGTTCTTTCTCCTGGAAGATAGTCCTTTGTATCCTCAAAAACCATGAAAAGAACACAGTAACACATCAGTAACTCTCCAAACACTGAAATAGCCAGGCCAATATTTGTATTCCACCAGGCACTACTGCCAACAAGAAGGCAAGTGTATTCTGAGTGGTGAAGAGGCCAGAATGTCTGTGAATTAGGATCTGAAATGCAGAGGCACACAGCCTACAGCTGTTGAACTTGAATTCCCCTGTGAATGCGGCACCCAGGGCTGAGAGGCACTTCTTAGAGAGGACCTGCCAATGGCGAGTGGTTATACTCACTCTGTCTTAGCCATCATCTTGTGTGCACAGAACAAGTGAGAGCAGGTGTTCACATTTATCTTCCTTAAGGAGCCCCTTGAGGCTCTTTGGAGAAGGGTCAGTAAAAAAAGAAGCTGAAATAAAGCCTTCCATCCGAGGTCTGGGGGACATTTAACCTCCCTGAGACCTCAGTTCCAGGTGTAAATTAGCCTCTAAAATAATATCTATGAAGATTGTGAAGATTAACAGCCAGTGACAAAGTCTTAAGTAACAGGGCTTCTGGGCACATAATTCTCCCTAAAATCACCTCCTGAAGTTGACAGTCTCAACTTTATGAATTAGGAAGGAACTGACCTTTCGAAAGATGTTTGCAAAGTTGGGGGCAGGGAGAGGGAACAGAGTTAAACAGCATTACATGCAAAAACATCCCTGGCCTAAAATGAAAAGAGAAATGAAAATTAAATGAAATTAAAGAAACTACCTGAAGAAATATTTTTAAAATATGAGTGACTGGATAAAAGCAAATTTTTTAAATTTTCTATAATCAGTAGGCAATTATTAACGAGTATCAATCAGGGCAATATCAGGAAACAAATGGCTCCCTCAAATTAGAATAATTCAAGGAAGGTTTATTTAGAAAGAGATGAATTACAAAGGAGGCAGTACTGGGTACTGGGGCCTGCTGCAGCAATGGTAGAACCACTGCTGGCCTAAAAAATGGGAGAGGAAGAAGATGCCAGAACATGCATGGAGAGAGAGCTGTGTAGAGAGGGTTTCTGGGAGGAGAGCAGTCAGATTCAATGAAAGGACACTGCCAGCCCAAGGTGACCTCACAAGGAGGAGCCAGGGACTTCGTATTCTGACCTCACTCCTGTCTCCTACTGGGGATTCCCATTGGCCAGACCCACTGGACATCACAGGGCAGGGCAGCGGTTGACACAGGGAAACCCCTGGGCAGAGAGCAGGAGAGAGAAAGATGGAGAGTGGACAAGGAAGAGACAACACAGAATAACCTGCAAGCCACGGACTGCATCAGGCCCAGGAACACAAAAGAAATAAATCAATTTGGAGAACCTCATGGACAAATCTCTTCTTTTAATGTTTCCCCTGAAAATGAGAGAAAAGGGAAGGGATTTATTGTGACGCGAATGTCAATTTCGAACCTTTAAAAAAGTCTGCATATCACGTACTTCGCATCGTGCTTACACAGAGATATCGATAGTTCCCAATCACTTCTACATTCACCATGAATTATTTTATACTCACTTTTGTATCTTTGTGTAATTATACTTCTTGATTAATGTATACTGTTTACTTTCAGCCTGTGGGGTTCAGACCTATAAAAATTTGTAAAGTTAACATTTTGCCAGAATTTTTGTCATTCTAAATCACTGGTTCTCAAAATATGATCTGAGGACTCCCGAGGTTTTCCAAGTCCTTTTCAGGGGGTCCCAAGGGCCTCAATATTTTTTAAGAGTATAAAATGGTCTTGGGACCAAAAAGTTTGCAAATTGTTGGTCTAGATTATATTATTGCAAAAAATGACCTCTATATGTAATATAATAATAGTGCATGAGAAATCCAATCTCAGATTTCCAGAAATAAATGGACTATTTGCTATAGTCAGGGTGTATTTTATTTCCCATCAGCTTTGAACATGTTGCAGATTATCTTCTACCCATGCAGTCCTCCAGGTCACTTGGTGCAGAAGCTAGAAGTGGGGACAGAGGTGGGGTTTAAGATTGGGATAATTTGCCCAAGAACCTGGGCCTGATCTCAGCATCCCTGGGACATTCATTCCTGGGATATACTAAAATGCTAAGTATGTTGGCCGAACAAATTTCTCACTGTGCAAGCCGATATGTGGGAAAATGGCAAGGAAGCAGCCTAAGATGTCTACTCCCTTGAAGACCTTATCATCGGTACCAGACACAGGCAAAGGATAACGGGGTCTTGCTCTCAGCAGTTCAGAAAGCAACAACAAAGACCCCACTGTCATTTGTCAGGTAAAACATGCTTCTGTGGGTGCAGCTCAGATGCCAATAAATGGAGGCTTGTTATGCCAGCAGGGGCAGTGTTTACTCTCATCCCTCATTTAGTCAATATTTATTGGCTTCCCTCTACACTCATTAATATAAAGGTTACTTTACTGTATGTGGCACAAAGCATAACTCCTGACATCGAGGAGCTTATAAACTAGTGAGGAGAGGTGGATTAAATATCTACAACACAGGGCAGGTATGTGATTGGGTCTGTACTCAGGGGACAGAGGACTTACAGGAGGACTCAGGGTAGAGTGTGAATGGCCAAGGAAGGTGTCATGAAGGAGGGAGTCTTTGAACAGGACATTATGTGCCAGGCAGGATTTTTAGAGACAAACCTCAGAGTTAGGAGAAAAAGTGATAGGCAAGGGCTCAGCAGAGAATTTCCAGGCAGTAGAAGTGGCCTAAGCAAAAAGGTGGGAGCAGGAATTGTTAAATGTCAGAGTCAAAAGGAAGTTTGGCAATCAGGTTGTCAGATCCTTCGCTTGACAGATGAGGATAGAGAGGTCCACAAGGTTGAGATTTTCCCTGAGTTCTCTATTGGCAACACTGAAAAAGAACCCAAGAGACTGAACTCTTCCCAGAGCTATTTCCTGGATTTGTGGCAGGAAGAGCCAGAGCCATGCATGGCAGAGTGGTAGGGGTGCCAGAAAAAGCTCTTGGACCCACACTGGAGTGTCCAGGGGGCTGGATGCCTATTTGCACTTGATCCAGACCAGTGTTTCCCAAAGTGCATTCTGAAGTGAGTGCACTAGAACCATCAGTGTGCTTGTTAAAACAACAAGGGGGAAAGGGGGACCTGAAAATCTGCATTTAAAACTTCTTTCCAGAGTGATTTTGTATGCACTTCCTAAATTAGAAAATTAAAAATAAAGAGAGTGGCTGAAAGATTGGTCTGAGCAGCAACTGAATTCAATAGGTGTGAACGAGGTAGAAGGCAAAAAGTGATAGTTTGAGAAGAGAGTTCAAGAATCTCAGAACTGGCAGCATTCCATGCCATAATCTGGCCATGCACTTGGGTGGCCAATTGCCTATAGGGAAAGGTCATAAGAGTTTAGAGGGACTTCAAAATCAGGGTGTTAGATGTGCTATCCATATGGATATGAAGCATCATAGTCATGAAGAGAGACTAGATCTCTGTTGTCTCTCTCCAGGACTAGTCAAGTAGGCCAAGAATAGAAGCCAGAATTCACCAGCATCATAGGCACAAGGTATGTATAAAAATATAGGTAGGGGTGGGTAGATACAACTGAATCTCTAAGAGACCTTCCAATTAGAGCGTCAACTCACTTCATAATGGCAGGGGGTCTTCAGGCATGTTCTGAGTTCTGCATTACATATCTGAAGCTCTAAATCAGGTAACTGAATTGGTTGCATTTTGGATGCTCTTCTGCTTTCTTCTGATGAATTGTGTATATACTAGGATTGATTGATGGCAGAAGGAACAATCAGTTCAGAAAAAACAATTGGCTTGGCCCATTCTGTCCCCCAACCGAACACTGGCTTAAAAAATGCTCTTGAGAAAACGGGAGACTGTCTATTGAAAGAGACCATTTTCAGTGCTGCT